TACCAGACGTCCTGGTAGGTGTGCCCTCGTGGAAAGGAAAAAGCTTGCCTCCATGCGTAAACTGTCTGGCTTGCTCGGGGAAATGATGGACGAACAGCATCCCGTGAAGACTTTTTGATGCGCGAAGGGCGGCATAAATGAGGGTTAGAAGTGTAATGTTTGGCTGCGATGTCAAGTTGCGCTACCGGCATGTTCGAAAAGCTATCATGTAAATTTTAGGTCACATAAACATTCTGAAAACAGCCGGTATATTTTTCAACAAATGGCTCGCCTAGACGATACCTTACGGTACGTTTGTGTTCACCACAATAATGCCGCGCCAAACACCCACGGTGTGTATCTTACCTCACGGCTTACTAGTTGTACATTACCCGCTAATGGGCTATGTACGTACTATTTCGGATAAACAATTTCAGTAATGTGACCGAAAGCCTTCTGAGGAACGCCAACAGTCGCCTGAAAAGGTGAATACAATCAGACACTCAAATATGCCATACAAAACGTGTCCCGTTACACCGAGTAGGTCACGCGAAACTATATGATGAAGCGAACTAGGGAGAAACAAGTACGTTCTGAACATTGTCCGTCGAGTGATTACGTATGCGCGTTCGCTCATTTTAAGGCAGTTTGGACTGTGACCCCAAAGAGTGCACTATTGTGGTGCTGTAACACACGAGGTCAGGTCAACCTATGGCAAGCAACCTGCAGTTCATGTTGCAAACAACAAGGTGCTCCCAGACGGTTGAGACTTGTGCTGTGAACATACCCCTTCCCTTCTAGCAGAAAACCTGGCTTCCCTGTATCCTTTAATTCTCTGTATTTAGAGATCAGATGGTTCCGAACAGCGGGAAATATCTTTCCTAGATGTTTTCTGGGGTTGCATCTTATCTGCTAACTGTGAATGGCGGATTATAACCTATCGGAATCAAGTATACCTCTATATGTTGCGTCCTCGAACACAATACAGGTCCCACCAAAGTTCACTAAATTAATACAGCTTGAAAACCGTCTGAAAATATAGACCATTTGCTATATGCATTTTATCGCAGGTCGCCATGTTTTATTACACAAACCAACATCCGATTCGTAATAAATGATGACATTGAAGCTTCACCCGCTTAAGCGGAACCCGTTGAACATATAAATTGCAAAATATGAAGTGGTGATTTTGAAAACATCGTGGTTTTCGAGAACTCAATACCATTCACCATATACCGATTAGCACAGCTGTCCGGGGTTCATCAGCCGCACAATGCTGTCAGCTGCTAAACGTTTACGAGTGAGGTAAAACTTTTTGGCCAAAATATTGTATTTTGTCGCGTATGTGCTCAAACCAAAATCCATCCTAACCAACATTCATCTTTTTGAAGGTCACTAAATTTCAATGTCCATTGAAGCAATGTACTTCTAGTAGAAACGTCTGGTGGAATAATTTCCCGGTATCGCTGAGATCCCGGCATCCCTAAGTGGGGCTCTAAAGTTTGGGCTGATACCCTAAACTCGACTGCCCGTTTACTTGAGTTCCTCAGGGACGCGTTACAGCCTTCGAGAGTTCAACTGCATTGTACAAA